TGAATACCAGAATCCCATCACTCAGGTATGTGTGGGTAAGTACAAAAATCACTGATTTGCAAATGTAATGTGGGGCAGTGATAGGTCGATCATCTTCTTAAATTTGTTTTAATGTTTTATATCATCTGAATACCCTATATCCAATCTTTTCTTCTGTATAATACAAAAATGTGATGATAAAGTCATGAACCTATTTCAATATATAGGACTTTTATAGAAATGTTCATTATTCTACAGTGTTCACTGGATCATCAAAGTAAATATAACATACTTCAGGTGTTTAAAAGTACATATGATTTTTAGGTGTCATTCATAATCATTCTTAATAAACTGGAGAAAACTTCTTCATGACATATTTTGAAGTACTAACTCTGCATTATGGTGTTTTTTTTAATGATTATCATTATTAAGCAATAATTGTTATATTTTCTTCAGATATAAATGAGTGTGAAACCATTCCAAACACATGTGAAAATGGAAAATGTACCAATACAGAAGGCAGCTATTTCTGTGTATGTGATCCGGGCTATGAAACCAATGCTGACCGCACACAGTGTGCAGGTAAGGAAACTCAATCCTTCTCTGTCACTGCTTTAGTATCACAGTAGCATGATCATGAATCACGGAAGGAAGTAGTTGAAAGGGAAAAACAAGTTTAAAACACATTTTATCTATGGCACATGTCTTTTGGACTGATATGCGAGATATTGTTTGTGTCGTTCATAGGGTAATTGATAACAAGTTTCTCTATTGAGACTTGCAGTGAGGTAACTTATTTACATGAAATCTTTGGAAGAGAGGGAGTTTATTGCATATTTCACTATAAGCGTGGGAGGATGCATGTTTTTATGTATTTCTTTATCAGGCAAAATATGATAAAATTGCATAATAAGGCTTTTGGGATTTCTCACTCTTGTTTATCTTAAGTGCTTAAGCACCTATGAACACAAGCTGTTGATGGGAAGGATGTGATGCTGGTTTTATCGCAGGCTTAGCTGTGTAGTAGGCGTGCCAGGCATTTATCTCCAATACTCGCTAATGTTTCACTGTTGTATCGGGTTTTACTACCTAATCAACAATCTCTAGATATTTCTCAACTACACACTTAAACATGTAACCCAATACTTTGACAGACATTTGATTTTGCCTGTAGATTTTCTCTTTAATTGCCTTTTGGACAAATTTGATGGGACCGAGACTGTAGTATCTGGACCTCATGCCGAGATTGCAAATAAATGCCCTGGTTTTAGTTACCCCAGAAATCTGATATGTAAAATTGATGTGATATAAAGTGTTTTTATATTACTATAGTGTTTGTATTTCTCATTCTGAAATGATGTAAACAAGACAATAATTGTACGAAGTTGTCTAGACAGGGCTCGAGATACAGACACCAGCGGTAGTATTTTAAAACAAATTTCAACGCATTCATGCAAATCTAAATATGACCATGTATTTTAGTTGTGTATTTTTCACACAGGTGTCGTTAAATTTTACTGTCTGAATAGCATGCTGCTGAAAAAAAATCCATAACGTAGGTTTTTGGGTGAATTTTGTACACTCGGCAGATAGGCATCACCTGAATAATACGTGTGATGTACCACTTTCCTTAACCTTACCTTATGATCAAAGTCGTAATGTAAGGTTAAAAGTCAATTGGTCCCATTTGTATCCCAGTCATTATAATCTGTAAGATTTGACAGGCTGAAGATATTTGATTAAAGTTCTTCCTAATAAATGTTTCCTGCAGGGCTTTCATTTCAGTAAACCCCCTGAGGATGTTTATGACTCCTCATATAGGATTTTACTGCTAGATTTTAAAATCTCATGTCTACTTGACTCTCCAAAATTCAGGGATAAATCTATTTGACTTCTGAAACTGCTAAATGTCAAGGGTCAACTGAAAGCCTTGGTCCTTATAAACCAAGGAACATACTTAAAACTCTTGCTGATTGTGGTTGCAGTTTTTAAGAGGAAGACATGTTTTAGCCGCATCTCCGCGGGAACCTGTGCTGATCCCATGGGAATCCTGTTGTCCTTGCGTGACTGCTGCTGTGAGATGGGGAAAGGCTGGGGCAATTCCTCCATTTGTCAACTCTGTCCCGAAAAAAACTCAGGTCAGTATGACCATTCTATAATCAGGGCCATGGGTTGGTTATGTATGTCACTCTATCTGCCCTGATTCCTATTACAACACATTCATCTTGAAGTTCACTCTAACTTAAACCAACACTATGTTGAAGGCCCCATTTAATTTTATGTTGAATTAAAGAATAATTCAAATTGTTAAAAAATGTAATTTTCAACATTTCGGTGTGATATTTTGTTTCAAAACAAAGGGATTAGACAACAGGCATAGTCTATACGAGTCTTCTCCCGTTCCGGTAACAGAATGTGATACATGCACATATATTCCTGTAGATATTCAATACAGGGGCTGTGCTCGTTCTAAATATGAAAAATTGGTTGTTTGTGTCATTACTGGTATCTAAATATGAATTGCTTTGTGTTCAGATGCCCACAGAGAACTATGTGTAGTGTCTGATTTGAAGAGGAATGAGTGTAGCCTGTTTCCCACATTGTGTACCAACGCTCGGTGTGTCAACACGTTACAGGCCTACCGTTGTGACTGTAATGCTGGATTCAAACCTACAAGTGATCCGGATGTTTGTATCGGTAAGGAATAAAATTGTTTGAAGTGTTGTACTTGCTAAAGTATATATCCAGGTCTCCATCCTCAGAATACCTCTCAGATTCATAGTCACACTATGAAAATACAATTATGCCATCATTCTTGAGATTTGAAGCATTTTCTTACATTTTTCATGATAAAAGTGAATACACAGATACTTAGGAATGCATGTACAGGTAAGTTTTTTCATGAATTATAATATTCA